TGTTAGTTACTGTCGAGTGTCACTTTTTTAATTGTCTGTGGTTTGTTGGTGTGTATTGACAAGATGTCATGATATCTAATCAAAAACTACTTACGGTGTAAAAAAAAAAAAAAAAAAAATGTGCTGCCAAAAGAGAGTTGATATTTTGTTTTACATGCATATCTTATTTTACCTGCCATCATGCCCCAAGTTGAACAAAAAACGTGGCCTGGCTAACTAATGAATGAATATTTGCCGTAAAATTATTATTATTGTTATAAGTATAGCTACCAGTTTGGCCGCCAATTTTGATTTCATTCCTCTAAATCACACACTCGATCCTTTTTTTGGCTGCACCTTCTTTTCACACTTCAGATGTTTTTGATTGGATCATATTAAACATGAAAGCTGGTCTCGGTTTAAAAATAATAAACTACCGGACAGATGTTTTGGAAATCAGGTTAGTTTAAGCCTAGATGACGTTATAGGAATGTAAATGATTATGTGGGTATATAAGTCCCAACGATGCCTTTACCGTTATTCTTGAAGATGGTGTCATAAGACATCGAAACACATGTAGATTCTTTTTAAGGGCAAGTCCCTGTTTTGAATAACTATTTCTTGTGTAATTACTTTAACGTTGTGTTGTTTTAATTGTAAGTATGTGATAATGTTGTATGTACAGTTGAGCCATATCCCTCGTGTTTTTAATCATGCTTTAGGTACTCTAGGATTACAGATTAAAATAAACAAAATGGTATAGAGTAGAAGTGCGGTAATTTGTATGACATTAAGGCGTTTGTCAGATTTTACCATTCTACGAGTACCACCTTACAGGAATTTCTTGAGACTTGCTAATGATGACACTATAGAGCAGTATTCATTACACAGTAAGAAAGGTTGTGTGAGGTTCGACTAATAATGGTCATAAATCCAAACCCCATAAAGCCTTTTCTCTAGATTTCCTCAAATTCCTTGATGAAAATGAACGTACTGATACAGAGAAACTGTCGGGGTTTAAGAATTAATATCAGTATCTTGATCATTTCTTACCATCTCTTCAGGGGAGATATTTCTGAAATTTGCTTTTAGTATCATCATGCTACAGTTATCATTGATCACAAAGATGGAATTATGAAGGAGTCTTATTTCCGATTGGCCAACATATTCTCTTCATTTACATCTCTCTTGGTGACCACTTCCATCTGTCTCTTCACTGGTTGTAACCTCACACTATGCTCTGTCTACAGCAAAATAATAAATTCATCAAGTTGGCCTTAGTGATCTTTTAAAGTAGTTGTCAACTCCCTTCTTCATCCTGAAAGACTTAAATTTTTGTATTTGTATTGTTTAAATTCACTTTAAAGTTTCATATTTGTAATTAGTTGTTTTATGCACACACAAACTTCACATCTTATAGGCTTCTGTTTGACAAAAGGTCTAAGTGGCTTGTCTATAAATCCTCTAAAAACATTAAAAATGTTTTTGATTTTTGCCTTAAACAAAATTCACTGTTAATTAACAATAAACAACAGAGACAATATAATTACTTTAATTTTACAAATAGTACTGTTTTACAATACAATACATAAAATGTTCATCTTGGTTTTATTTTACATTAATTTCAGGTATTTCTACGACTCTGAAATTTTGGATCGGGTCCCTAATTTTTTCTGCTACTGGGAGCTGTGCAAGGAGGTATTATATTTATTGGACTACTTCTGTACCAGGAACCTCCATCAGAGACACCCGAGGTAAGAAAGCTCTACTCAAATACTGCTTGTATAATGTTAATGAATAATTAATGTCTGAACAGCAAGACATTCTCAAAACATATCATAGTCTGCAGTAAGGCTCAGGTCATTGAGTATTGCAAACATTTCATTTTCCTTGGGAAGCTCCCCTCTCACGAGTAAACTGGATCATGGAAGACATTCTCAAAACATGTCATAGTCTGCAGTAAGGCTCAAGTCATTGAGTACTGCAAACATTTCATTTTCCTTGGGAAGCTCCCCTCTCACGAGTAAACTGGATCATGAAAAGCTTGCATGCCACCAAGTGAAAAGTTGATACTGCCTAATTAAGTTCTAGCACAAAAATTCAGGTAAATTATAGATGGTTCAGAAGTGAACCACCATGACCCAAACAGTTGAGGTGGGCTAGTCACCAGTAACTCTATACAATTATCGACCCATCCTGTCGTGACAGAAGTTGTTGAGGAAATGCTTTCGTGAAATACTGATGAAATATTTATAAATGTAGTTTAACTGGAAAGAAAATTACACACATGGAGACTTTACTGACAAAGTATACTAAGGTCTTTGTAGGGCCATCCTGTATGCTGAGTCATGGATGGAAAGTTCTGTTCAGGCACTACACACACATACATGCAAGAAAAAGAAATCCACATCCAGGAGAATTTCTCAAGAAATCAGCATTTTAAAGCCCATTGCTGGAACACATACACACAAAAAAAAACAACATTACTTAACTTGAGTACAGATATATTAGTAAGTCATTAAGGCGGTTAAACATCAAAAAAAGAGTAGATTTCAGCCCATAATTAGAATCCATTAAGAAAATTATATTTAGTGAATATTTCTGATAAGCATGCAGCATTATCAGTGAATGATAGAACTGTTAAAAGCATGTTTGACTTGGACAATTAGCAGACATTCTCAAAACATATCATAGTCTGCAGTAAGGCTCAAGTCATTGAGCAGTGCCTGTCTTTTTTAAAACTCTGTAGTCAAGATTTCTTGCTCTCTAACTACCTGTCATATCTTTAGTTATCTCAAATAGGCAAGGGGCAAGCTTAAGACTTTGGGTGAATATATTAGTTATCTAACGTTTCTACTTGCAATATTTTCATTTATGTTGATGTCTGGCAGTACATACTGAATGTTTTGTTGTTCCTCTAATAACCAATATATCATTCTGCTGCATATTATACCTATTTTAATAATGTATAACAGAAGCAAAAACCATTGACAGAACAATATAAATAATCACCAATATATTAAGTTTAAAACTACTTTTGTTCAAATATAATCCAAATTATAGATATTAGAGGATAAATTAAGAATATTTAATGATATTAATGCAAAACCTCGTGTCATCACACACACTGTACAATGACGTGTATGTTATAGTTATTGAAAACAAAAATTGCAGCAATAAATTTCGAAAAAGACTACAACAATAAGCACACGAATTTCATTAGAAGTCATTTAAATATTAACCTCCCAGTGGCTAAATGGTAAGAATAAAAACTTAAAACACAAAAAACCCAGTGATGGGTAGAGAATAAATAGTCCATAGTGTAGCTTTGTGCTTAACATCAAACAATCCTTTGCCAGAAGTCACATCGAAACTAAGCAAACAATTAATTTATTCAAACACACTTATTTCAGGCTAATTTATTAGAAAATTGTAGTCTCTATTTCCTGGATGAAGGTGTGTAATCCTTTCATTTTGTTGAGTAAACTTGTAGACTCTAATATCCTATGTACGAGGATGTATAATACTCTCACGATGTCGATTAAAGTTATAGACTCTAATATCCTATGGACGAAGATGTCTGATACTCTCACGATGTTGATTAAAGTTGTAGACTCTAATCTCCTATGGACGAAGATGTCTGATACTCTTATGATGTTGATTAAAGTTGTAGACTCTAATCTCCTATGTACGAGGATGTCTGATACTCTTATGATGTTGATTAAATTGTAGACTCTAATATCCTATGTACGAGGATGTCTGATACTCTCACGATGTTGATTAAAGTTGTAGACTCTAATCTCCTATGGACGAAGATGTCTGATACTCTTATGATGTTCATTAAAGTTGTAGACTCTAATATCATATGTACGAGGATGTCTGATACTCTTATGATGTTGATTAAATTGTAGACTCTAATATCCTATGTACGAGGATGTCTGATACTCTCACGATGTTGATTAAAGTTGTAGACTCTAATATCCTATGGACGAAGATGGCTAATTTTTACATATTGTTGAATAACCAGGTAGTTTTTTCGGCGTGAATAAAGACAAGATCATTTCATACTTCAAGAAAACCATCTACATTTTGCTAAAAGCAGAAGATAACCATTTTCTTACGTTAAAAACACATGTCGCCGATAACCAATACGTATTCACAGAAGACAAAACTGTCAATATTGAATTGAAATAATGTATAAAAATTGTATGCATATCTAATCACCAATACATTAGGTTTAAAACTATTTCTAGTTCAAAATTAATTAGCAGTAAAGAAGCATTAAAAATTTAATGTCAAATTTCATGTGACCACATACAAAATAGAGAATGTGGTATTCCATGACTTTTGAAATTAAAAACTGTGTACAGAAAGATTAGGTTACAAGAAAACTTTGTGGCATGCAAGACTGCAAGAAATAATGGTTCTTATAATATTGAAGTTTATTACCGCCCAATATATCTACAGCATTAAGTTAAGCACAA